CGGCAGTTTTGAAACAGTATTTATCAAATTCATTGCAATTAATATTGTACCTACTGTTTAATGAAATCTCTGATGATAGTTTAGTAAAAGTACGTATGAACCAGTCACCTGCCAAGTTCTAATTTTTAATCTATATGAAATGTGAAGCAGACACACAAAAAACCCAATGTATGCATGAAGAACAGACAAATCAAACTTAAAACGTTCTAGCTCTACCGTTCATCAACTAACACTAGAAACTTTCGGGTTTTGCCGTGCGTCTTCTAAGAAAAGGTTTGACGTTTCGGATTCCATGTGCCAACCTTCTTCAGAAACACTTCGAACCAGTTTAGTTAGTTAAGAGTTAGTACTAGTTTTAGGTCTAATTTTAGTTCAATTAACTTCGGCCGTGACGTACTTATAAAAAAAGTAGATATTTCCGGTTGTTAGATATGCCTGAAAATTTAAGTCTGGTATTCTATTATTGTTATGCGGGTTTACACCAAATATACGAGATTTATCTTTTAAGAAAGAGAATATAAGCATTTTATATGAAAACAGTCAAATAACACACTCGGGCACGGATCATCTTTGATCGCTAATATCTTGGTAAGGAGCAAGTTAAAGCAAGATGTGGTTATCATGTTATATAGAGCACATCTCAAAGGACAAGAATATTCCAGCGACAAAAGTTCTTCTTGCGTCTTCTGCGAGATATATATATGTTAAAACATTTGGTTGTAACTTCAAGTAGGTGTTAATTAGCTTTAAAAGAAGTGCTTATTACGTATTTCTGCAAAAATATTTTAAAAATTAGAAAAGTGCCAAATGAAGACCTTTCTATACTGTTCCAGATAGCAACAACGCATTGTCTTGAAAAAGTGGAACACAATATATTTTCTTTCTTTATTTAGTTTTTTGGTTTCAAAACTCAACCTTTCAATAAAAAATTACTCGTTTTCTCGAAACATTTCAAATAAAACCTACGTCATTTTACTAGAATAAAACGAATTTCAATGTTTAACACTAGTTCTAGGAACTAGTGTTAAAGTGTAGTATGGACTCATTTTAATGGTTTTTTTTAATAAAGAATACATCATAAAAGAACACCATGAAGTTGTCCCTTTGTCTATTATATGATAACTAACTTCAGATTTAAAATGTCAACCTCAATTTTGACATATTTGTAATCTTTATTAAAAATCCCTTAAAATGAGTACAAACACAACATATTTATCTTCAATATTAATGAAGTTATGGTCAACTTCCGGTTAAGAATGTCAATGTCAATTTTGACATATTTGTAATCGTTGTGAAAAATCCTTTAAAATGAGGCCAAACATGATACGTTTAATTCCAATATTACTCGAGATATAAGCAACTTTCGATTTGAAATGTCAATGTCATTTTGACATATTTTTAATTTTTATAAAATGTCTTAATATTTGTCACAAAAAAACAAAAATATAATAAAAAAAAATTAAAAATTAAGGTTGGTATTAATATTTAAAAATTAAATTGCCGTTTTACGTTTTTTTATTCAAACTTTTTTGTTTATTGAGATAAGTGCGTCATCTTTGGACTCATTTTAAAAGTTTTTTAATCAACATGACAAATATGTCAAAATTGACGTTGACGTTTCAAACCGGAAGTAATTGTATTTCCATTAATATTAAAGCTAGATATGTCGAGTTTGGACTCATTTTNGGTACCAACAACTTTTATCAAAGTCAACATATTTTTTTATGTATAATTGAAAGGTGTAATAAAAACTATAGCATTCCATTTAAAATAACGAAGTTGTGGTCTACTTCCGGTAGATCGGAAGTGGTGGTCATCTTGAAAATATTTTAGATTGAAAGTTTAGAATGAACAACCCATGCTACTAAAATTTCAAACCTCTACGAATAGTGGAACCTAAAAAAGTTCTAACGAACCAGTTACGTGAGACACCCTGTATACTAATCCCCTCTCTTGCAATGTCACTAGAATTAACATTAGACCTAGAACTAGACATATTTCGGTTTAGCCGGAATCTCTAAACCCGAATGATTCTAGTTCTTGGTCTAGTGCTGCATAACAATTAAAACTAGAACTAACACTAAACCTAGAACTAGAAAGTTTCGGGTTTAGCCGTGCGTCCGAAGACGCACGGCTAAACTTAGTTCTAGTATTACACTAGCACTGTTACTATGTAGAACTAACACTATACCTAGAGCTAGAATCATTTGGGTTTAGCCGTCTTTAGAGTCGTGCGGCTAAACCCAAATTATTCTAGTTCTAGGTGTAGTGTGCCATGCACCACACAAAGTGTGCCATGTAAAATTGTTTTAATAAATGATTTGTTATATAATTTACAAAAAATAAAAAATAGATTGAAAAATAAACAATCCAAGAACCTTCATCAACTTCTTGGACACTGCAACTTCCGCAGTTTCTGCATCTTCTATCAAAATCTATCTTTCTAGGACATCCCTCTTCACATGCTACCCTATCATTGTCAACTGATGCATCTAACACAGGTATGGGAGCTGTTTTAACACAAACCATCAGTGGAAAATCTCAACCATTAGCATTCTTTTCCAAAAAATTTACTTCATGCCAAGCCAAATATTCAACTTTTGATAGAGAACTATTAGCGATCTACTCTGCTATCAAATTTTTCAAACATTCGTTACATGGAAATCAATTTACGGTATATACAGATCACAAACCCAGACAAAACTCCTCATCAAACCCCATATCCAAGTTATATTGCACAATTTACTTCAGATATCAAATACATCAGAGGAAATTCAAATGTTATTGCAGATACTCTATCCAGAACAAACATCGGATATCCAAATTCATCTTATTCAGTTTTTCTAACCCTTACCAACGCTCAACTTGCTCACACAAAATTGTCAAACTTACTGAATAAGCAATTTTCCAACAATCCTTCAAAATCTTATCGTTTGGCACATCAAACAACATCACAATCTGATATCAAACTGTGGTGTGAAACCTCTTCATCATCTCCAAGAATTTATATTCCGCAACAGTTCAAACAAGCAATTTTTGACAGAATGCATGCAATCAAAACAAGATTCTTTTGGCCACACATGTCAAAGCAAATTCATGTTTGGACCAAAACAGTCTACTAGGATTAAGAACATCACTTAAGGAAGATATAGGTTGCTCCGCAGCAGAACTACTTTACGGGCAACCACTAAGACTTCCTGGAGAGTTCTTCATACCTACTAATCCATCTATTAAATATAAGCCTTTCCTCTCCAGTTTAAGAGACACTTTTTCAAAATTAAAACCAGTGAAGAATCGCCGTCTTTAGAGACGTGCGGCTAAACCCAAATGATTCTAGTTCTAGGTATAGTGTTAGTTCTAGTTTTACACTTGCAACATCGCTAGAACTAACATTAGATCACAAAGTAGTATAAGGAGATAAAACGAGCGTACAAAAGTGGTTGGAGCAAATCCCCCCAAAATAGGGCAAACTTAATTCAGAGTTATACCTTGTGGCTCTGACGACAACGCCCCTTGTGTTAAAACTGCAAACTACAATTAAATATACTTTTTAGGTTATAGTTGCTTGCAATTTGTTTTGACAGATCAGCTGATTTTAGGTGGCACCAATTCTATACCATAGGAGTAATAAAAATTATAATATTGATTAATATTATTATAATTAATTATTATCTAATATTGAGTTGTAAAAATGATGTGTAGTAATAAAATATAATGGACCGCAAAGGAAAAAATAACCGACCTAACCTAAACAGATTAATTTTTGTTAGTTTACAGTTTTGCCACCGGGGCGCTGTCGTCAGAGCCACAAGGTAAAACTCTGAATTAGATTCGCCCTATTCTGGAACACANAATATTTCGCTTTATGTTTTAATATTTTTTTTATATATTTTTGTATATTACATCTTAAGTGAAATTCACTGTATAAATAAAAACATAGAAATGTCAATTCTTCCAATGACGTCACAGCAAGGGCTTTGCTACGTTCATAGGGATTTAGATAACCTTACACAGTATGTTTACTCAACAGACCTTGGAGATTCATGTAAGTAAATCCAGTAGTGAATTGTACCTTGGATTTCAAACTAACAACATGCGTGACGTCACGAACGGGTCTACGAGTTGTGCGAATCGAGTCCTCTTAGATTCTACCATAAATATAATACACTGAAGAACGCAACGGGATAAATATCTTTTCGAATTTGTGTGCATTAAAATTATTCCGTTCTGTATTCTAAGAAAAAACGAATTTTTAATAATTTTTAATCAACATCTTATTTTATGAATTAAAATAATGACTTTATGAAAAAAAATTTTTTTAAAGTGATTGTGGTGAATTCAGGTGTAGCACATTTTGTGGTGCCTTCGTGCCATAATCAAACCTTATCACGCATTTTATTAAAAGCGTTTGCCGCCGATGGAGTTGGTCATGCAAACTTGCTCCTTTCGTGCTCTAAGGAAAACGTACTTTTCATACCTACCACAAATAAAGACCACCATCCATTAAACCTTATCGCGGGGGGTTCGTTCGATGTTCTATGTGCAGGGTCGTATCGCGCTCAATTTGACGTTATTAAATAGTAATTTGGGGTGGAGATACGCCCCCGATAAGCACCCGTAATTCGAATTAACGTTATAGTTAAGACCACGACTTTATCCCATCGAAAGGGAGTGTTATTTTATGGAAATTTTGTGTTTCGATCAGGTTTCTCAAGAATTGCTGACGATTTTGGTCGTAAATTTAAATCGTTGTTTGATAGCGAATGGTGCTGATGTTTTATGCCTCGTCGAAACGAGATCGTTGAATTAGTGCCGACACTGATGTGTTCTCGCGATGTTAACCGTAAATGTTTGGAAATGACCACGAATCGCTGCGGTTTTGAATTTGTGGGAGTACTCAAACCGATGCGTGACCGAATTTCCGATTTCAAAATGATTTAAATCAAATATTTTGATTCTTATTTTCTTTTTATTTATTTTTATTTTCTTTTTATTTTCAGTGAGCGGCACAAATGGTGGTCTGGTTGTGAGAGTAAGCGTGCCTCAGTATCGGATACCGGGGGAAATAGCACAATTACGGTGCGACTACAACCTGGGCAACGACAGCCTTTACGCCGTCAAGTGGTACAAGGACCATGAAGAGTTCTACAGGTTCGTCCCGAAGCAAAGACCGGAAACCATCAGCTATAGCGTAGAGGGAGTTGACGTTGATGTAAGTTAATTTTTCTCTATACACACTCCGACACGATTTTCAACACGATTTTCAACACTCTTTCCACCTTTACATCAAAAATTAAATCTTATCTCAAAATCTAAGTATTCTTTTTTTAGATAGAGGTTCTTAATAAAAGCTTTGAACTGATATCTCCAATTTTTTATCGTCTCCGGTTCGCATTTACTCCGCCCGGAATAAAGAGGTCTTTTTGTCTCAGACGCCCCCTTTATGGATGCATGCACTCGACGGCGTCTCGCGGAGAAGAAGAGACATGGAAGACGTAAAGTAACCGAATACGTCTCGGTCTCGAAACGACCGCATCAGTGTCGCACGCTAAGCAGGGCGTATAAAATTTTCATTCGTTTCCTGCGGCCGCAGACGCCAACGTCGCCGCCGCCGCCGTCGGACGCTCAATTATTTATTCGCGGGGGGCTTCGGAGATTGCATTAACACAAGAACGAAATAAATTTTGGACCTGAATTATTAACTCGACGACTTTTAAATTGCAACCGAGACAGCTTGGCCACAGATGTCGCACACGCAAATTGTATAAAAAACACGTCTAAAAAACCGTACATCAACAAAAACAAACTATACAGGTGTCTCACGTAACTGGTTCGTTAGAACTTTTTAAGGTCCCACCATTCGTAGTGGTTTGAAATTTTGGTAGCATGGGTTGTTCATTCTAAACTTTCGATCTAAAATATTTTCAAGATGGCCACCCCTTCCGGTCTACCGGAAGTAGACCACAACTTCGTTATTTTAAATGGAATGCTATAGTTTTTATTACACCTTTCAATTATACGTAAAAAAAATATATTGATTTTGATAAAAGTTATTTTGATTTTAAGTGTTTTTTTTACAAATTTCACCATGGTCTTTAAAAGCCCATATCTCAGCTAACGATTATTCAAAAAAACTCTGCATTGGCACGACTACTCTACAGATGCTGACAAATAGATTGTCATTTGTTGTATCAGAGAATCTTATACAGGCTGGTCAAAAATTGAATTATCGTTTCTCAATATTCAATTGCGAGAAAGTCGAAAATTTTAAATGGAACACCCCATATTTCTTTACCCTACCAGAAAGGGAATTTAATTCTCTACAAATTATCTATAAACATTCCTATANCAGTTTTTCTAACCCTTACCAACGCTCAACTTGCTCACACAAAATTGTCAAACTTACTGAATAAGCAATTTTCCAACAATCCTTCAAAATCTTATCGTTTAACACATCAAACAACATCACAATCTGATATCAAACTGTGGTGTGAAACCTCTTCATCATCTCCAAGAATTTATATTCCGCAACAGTTCAAACAAGCAATTTTTGACAGAATGCATGCAATCAAAACAAGATTCTTTTGGCCACACATGTCAAAGCAAATTCATGTTTGGACCAAAACAGTCTACTAGGATTAAGAACATCACTTAAGGAAGATATAGGTTGCTCCGCAGCAGAACTACTTTACGGGCAACCACTAAGACTTCCTGGAGAGTTCTTCATACCTACTAATCCATCTATTAAATATAAGCCTTTCCTCTCCAGTTTAAGAGACACTTTTTCAAAATTAAAACCAGTGAATACGTCTTTTCACTCTATTCAAAAACCTTTTATTCATTAGACCTAGAACCTAGAACTTAAGACGGCTAAACCGGAATGATTCTAGTTCTTGGTCTAGCGCTGCATAACAATTAAAACTAGAACTAACACTAGATCTAGAAATAGAAAGTAAGTCTGAGGACGCACGGCTAAACCCGAATGTTTCTAGTTCTAGGTCTAATGTTAGTTGCCGCCGCCGCCATCGGACAATCAATTATTTATCCGGAAGGGCTTCGGAGATTGCATTAACACAAGAACGAAATAAATTTTGGACCTGAATTATTAACTCGACGACTTTTAAATTGCAACCGAGACAGTTTGGCCACAGATGTCGCACACGCAAATTGTATAAAAAACACGTCCAAAACCCAACAAAAACAAACTGTATACTAATCCCCTCTCTTTTTCTCGCAAACTTCATTAGCGTCGCGACGGTGATGGTCTTGGTAATTGGAGACATGACTCCAATTACTTTATATACACACCGTATTATTTTTTATTTTTTTTTAAGTTTTTGCTGCAAGTTTTTATGATGCTGCCATAAAGTTTTATTTATTCTTTATTATTAGAGTTGTACCCATCAAAATACTCCAATTCTTTATAAAGGATAAAGAATGTAGAGTGAAGTAAGAGCGATTAAAATTTAAGGCTACACAAGAAGGATAAAAATCGATAATAATGTAAAGAAACCAGTCTAGAAAACCTAAATGGAATGACGTACCAAAAAAAGAGGGAAAATATGCGTTAATTAACCTCTTTGATGATCATGCTCATGCTCCTATAAAAAGGTATCGATTTACTAAGCCTCTTGCTCCCTGGATGACAGATAATATTAAGTTAATAATTAGACTGCGTAATGAGGCTAAAGCTAAATTTAGGCATTCGGGGGAAGTAGCTCATTGGGAATACTACAAAGCTCTTAGAAATGTAACTACTACAGCTGTAAGAAATGAGAAGAGAGCATTTTTCGGTTCTATTGCTATCCCTGGTCATGGAGGGCAAATGTGGAGAAAATTGAAGTCATTGAATATTAAATCACATAAAGATGTTACCTTGTCGCCAAATTTAAAGTTTTCTGACAAGATTAATGAATATTTTGTAGATAGTGTCAAAGGAATTGTTAAAGACTTCCAAGGGTCTGGTTTAGATCGCTATGATAGTTCTAGTTTTAAAAATGACTTTTCTTTTAAATCAGTGGGTGTCTCTTTGGTGTTGGAGATGATTAATTTTATTACCTCATCTGCAGTTGGAACCGATGGTGTCCCCATTGACATAATCAAAATGTCTTATCCGACTCATATACTAAACTGTTGTTTAACTGAACATGTGTTTCCCATGGAATGGAAGCGTGCTATGGTTGTTCCGCTGCCTAAGTAAGGTGACCCACAGGAATATAGCGACTTGCGACTTATTAGTGTGCTCCCTATCCTTTCCAAAATTTTAGAAAAGATTATGAAGATACAGTTGGCAGAGTATGTGGAACTGAAGGGTTCAGTCCCATCACAGCAATCGGGCTTTAGGTGTGGGTATAGCTGCACTACATCAATGCTGAATTTAACAGATGATTTGCTGATTGCTCTTGAAAATTATCAAGAAATTTCGAAATAAGAATATAACTTTCAACACCTTGTGCCTCGAAAATCACTGACATTTGTATAAGACATAGATAGGTTAAATCATCATATTTTGGTGTTTAGTATCTCTGGTATTCGAATTTCCCATTCTTTCTGACTCACCCTGTATATATGTATATATATATACATATATATTTTCTTTATTTTCTCTTTGTTAGAATACCCATATAGATATGGGATACAATAAAGTCATATTATTATTATATAAAAATCTAAAGGAATGAAGAATTAAGGGGAGCGATGGCAGAAATATATAAAAAGGTGGTAGCAAAAAAGGTTGTTTGACAAATAGGATGTTCTAAACTCAACCCAACCTAACAGACTGAGAATAAAATGAACATACAAAAATTCCTAATTCAATAGGCAACCAGAACAGGCTCTTCAGGATTCCTTTTGTCTCTTTTGCCTGCAGATATGAGTGTGGTGCTGCAAGAAATTGAAAGAGACCATATTAAAGAAAACCTCTTAACAAGTACACGAGCAATTGGGCATGCAATGATGATGCTCCCAGCACCGTCTGGAATATTCTGCATGAAGAACAACCATTCTGTACGTGGTTTCTGCACCGCTCCATTAACGAGTTTAGACAAACGAATACCCTCATGCCACGCAAGTTCAGGGATTTCAACACAGATTTAGTATCAATGTGTGGGTAGATATTCTGGAAATGGTACTGTTTCGGACATGGGTTCCAAGTCAAAATATTATGTACTCAGTCCCGTCTATAAGTCCAAGAAGCTTGTAAGGGGAATTTTAGAGCACCTGTATCTTAATATATGCCTCATTGTGGTCCATTTGCCATATTGATAGCTTTCCTTCTTCGATTTCTAGCCCATCTAACAATGTCTTTAATGCCACATGTATTTCTGATGTCTTCATTGTCTGTTTCTGAAAGTGTAACCTTAAAAGCTTCTTCGTGGTGACATTTTTCACTCTTGTTTCTATGAGGTATGTCATAATAGCTCTTAGGCATGTTTTGTATATTCTGATCTTACTTTTGATGCTCATATATTATAATTAATTGCTACCTTCGTTGTGTAAACTGTCTTCAAGGTTCTGCTGCTGCTTATGCAGGTTCCCCATATACAGGGTCCGCCAGTGAAACGGAAAGATTTCGTAAATAATTTTATTGTTAAAGAATATTTTTTTTATAATTTTTAATACAATAATGGAAAATAAGAGAGTAGCCATTTGGTTTACAATGTCAAAAAATTTATTTTTTAAATACTACATCCGCCAAATGTCTTCCGTTACAATTTATGCATTCTTGGAGTCGTGCCTCAAAGTTTTGCATAACTCTGCAAGAAAGAAGTCGCATGCGGTTAGGTAGGGAGACCGAGGGGGCCAACTGATATCCCCGTTTCAAAGCATTTACAGCAGTCTTAACAGGAAGTTGCACCACAGCACTACATCCGAACCACATGACGTCATCAACCCAATGTAAAGATAGGATAGGGAAGGGTACCAACCTAAGGCTGAGGTGAAAAAAAAAAAAGGATGGTATTGGAAAAGACACCAGATCTAGTTACCAACCTATTTTTCCCCCCAAGCCTTTGGTTGACACCCCTCCCTATCCTTTTACTTCGTGCGGATGACGTCACGGAGGTGCAACAACTTCCTGTCTAAAACCGGCGTTCATTGAAATTCTTGCAGTGTGACTTGTTGCCCCGTCTTGTTGAAAAAGTGTGTGTTCATTCACTGGAAAGCCTTCAAGTTGTAGTGTGAAAAAATTCTGAATCATTGCAACGTGTCGTACAGAATTAACGGTAACGACATTTTCAGCATCATGCTCAAAAAAGTATGGACCGATGATTCCATTTGACGAAATCTCACCATTTTGGAAATAGGCTTTAACTGCGTAACCACGATTCCCCCCCTCCAACGCTCCATTGTAAACTAAATGGCAAATCATACAGGTCTTGACAAGTCGGCTACTTTCTTCCCCATCACTTCGCGGCGCGCTGTAAACCCTACCTCAAATCTTTCCTTTTTACTGCCGGACCCTGTATTTGAAACTCGGTACTTGTTTCATACTTAAATTGCTTGTTTTATCTTCTTGGTTTTCCAAGGCGCAACGAGTAAAATCCGGATTCTTTCTTTTGCCTTAGGCATACCTCCCCAAGTTTTTAGTGGATCAAGGACATGTTCGGTTTTTTTGTTTCTGGCAACCCATATTGTTGCTCATATCAGCTGAAATTAACTAGGGGGACTTTGAGACAAATTGTTGCTCAAGCTCTTGTCTTACAACATTTAACTCATCATCTATAGAGCGATATTGCCATTAAACAGCGTCTATGTTTCCATTACTGACAATTTCTATTTCGCGAAACTCCCATTTGATGAGGAGCATCGACGTCTCAACAAGGAGTTTTGCAAAATGTTGATTTCTTCTACGTCACAAAAATACAGTGTGTTAATTAATTATCGTACCCGACGTCATCATTGCAAGTATGCAACCAATATCACAATATTGGTATTGCAATACACGATTTGCGTATGATGCGTATTGCATTGTGATATTGGTTGCATACTTGCAATGATGACGTCGACTACGATAATTAATTAATACACTGTAGATGTCGAGTTGCAACTTTGCTTTTCGGCTTTATATTTTTTTGCTGACCTGGACTTTTTGCGTATCATTATTTTCTTTTATGCTTTCACCTAATGAAGTCTCGCTCCAAAACTCATAACTTCTCTACTCTTCTCATCGTTTCTGAATGATTTTATCGCGGTTAGGAGCATTTTGTCTGAGTTCTGAGCTATATACTACTCGCTGAACAGAGAATATATTTTAATGAACCTAAAATTAAGTTAATTATAAATTTGTTGACACAACAAACTTAAAAAAAGAAAATAAAAAAGCAATTTGGACGAATAACGAAATAACATATTTTGCCCGAAACCGTTTATATTAATAAACAGTTAAAAATAACCGGTTACACAAGCAATAAACATTTTTAACGAACTGATAAATAAACTTTAAAGCCAAAATTGGAGTGGCCGAACGAAGCGCATATAGAATTAACCCCGAAATGACAGAGTGTTATCTAGCGTGAAATTATTCGACAATTTAATTTTTAAACAACCCGTTGACGGTGATGATTAACAATAATTTAATGCTCGCCGGCGCAATCGAGTTTTTAAACAAACCGGCCGAGTTTATTTCATAAACCGAACAGACACTCGACTTCAAAGAGCTCTACTGTTCATATTACCACATTTGTCCCGGTAATTGGGCCAATATGTTTAATTCGACGCGTCGAAATGCGATCTTTAATTATTCAGCTGGTCTATTATTAAATGAGCCGACACCTAAAAATACAAAAAGTTTATTTGAAATTAATTTAAGTTTTTATTTTGTTATAGATGAGTTTATCGAATAATAATACGGTCGTGTTACGATCGATAAGCTTGAAAACGAGCGGACTTTTTCGATGTGAAGTTTCAGCCGAAGCACCCTCATTCAGTTCAGCGCAAAGTGAAGCCAGGATGGACGTTGTCTGTAAGTAATGTATCAAAAATAGATATCTGGCCGAGAATCATAATTGATTTTGTGTCAATCTTTCTATCTATTAAAAAGTGAACACGATTCTCTTTATTATAAATAAATGTGCCCATATAATGAGTTACGTACATGCACTCTATCTATAATTACTATTTATTGATTTAAATTAACAAATAATTTCTGTATTATTCAATATTTATTTTAGAATTCAACAAAGGAATATTTTCTTTAATTTCCCTAATAAATCAAATTTATTTTTAATTAATATAAAATAATGAAAAAAATCGTTTTGGCGTCAATTAAGAGAATGTAACATTTAATTGTTCAATATTAGTAGTAAATGGGCATGTACTAATTGGGGTTGACCTGTCAAAGCCGACTCATATGACCCGTTTCGGATAATTAACCGTCCGGCGCAGAACGGTTGTAACTTGTTCGTTGCAACCCTAGGTGTAACCAAAGGGAGGCGAAATAGAAGGGGAGTAGCGCATTTTGAACTGGGGCAGAGTCATAACTAATACGCATCGCCTGCGGTTTCAAACAGTTGTTGACATTTTGCCGGTCGTATCGAGGTCGATAAAGCAACCGCCACCAACCCTTCCGAGTTACAAACCCGCTCAACCAACTGCTAATCGCTAACACTCAACAAGTTTGTTCTTGAAAGCGTTTGCCTAAATGAGCAGTTAACCAAGATAGTCTAGAACAGAATTGCAGAAGTAAATGCGCCTTTACTATCAAGTAATCGTAATCAAATACAATAATTCGGGAAACATCACTTTTGAATTGTAAATATTGATATAAAAATCTTCTTATCTATTTGTTTTTATGAATTTGTTAGAAATCATTGAAGAATTCAGACCTTCAACACTAATAGCATTGACAGAAATAGGTTCAACATCGTCTTAAATCACTCATCGTTGTTAGATATTAGATAAAATTGTCCAAAAACTGACAAGAAAAGTATAAATTTTTTGATTTTTTGAAAAACTTTAAAAAATCTGATAGATATCGTCATGAATCGTTGAAGATTGCAAACAAGTTACAAAAAAAGTTTAAAAATTCGAATCAACTCTGAAAGAAAATGTAATAAATCGTTCAACATTGGCTGATATCTTATAAAAGTATCAGAAATTTTATTAATATTGTCATAAATGTGTTAAAACTACATCAAAATCGACGTAAATCTGATGAGAAGACAATACATATTGCAACGTTGTATAAACATGATTAAAAATCATCAGAAATCTGATAGAAATATAAAAAATCTTCCAAAACCTGACAAATAATGTCATAAATCTGTTAGAACTACTTCAAATTAAAGAGAAGATAATAAATCGTTCAACATAGTATAAACATGATTGATAATCATCAGAAATCTGATAGAAAGATAAAAAAATTTCCAAATCTGACCGACAATATCATAATATGTCATAAATCTGTTAAAACTGCTTTAAAATGGTTAAAAAACTGATGACAAGATAATAAATCGGCCAACGTAGGATAAAGATGATTAAAAATCATCAGAAATCTGATAGAAAGATCAAAAATCTTTCAAAACCTGACAGACAATGTCATAATATGTCATAAATCGGGTAGAACTGCATAAAAATGGTTAGAAAACTGATGAGAAGATAATAAATCGGTCAACGTAGCATAAAGATGATTAGAAATCATCAGAAATCTGATGAAAAGATCAAACATCTTTCAATGCTTGACAGACAATGTCATAATAATCATAAACGTGTTAGAACTACTTGAAGATGGTTATAAATCTGATAAAAAGATCGTAAAACGATCTCAATATCGCATTAATATGATTAGAAATCATCAGAAATCTGATAGAAAAGTAAAAAAATCTTCGAAAATCTGACAGATAATGTTATAATATGTCATAAATCTGTTAGAACTACTTAAAATTGAAGAAAAGATAATAAATTATTCAACATAGTATAAACATCATTAGAAATCATCAGAAATCTGATAGAAAGATCAAAAATTTTCCAAAAATCTGACAGACAATGTCCTAATATGTCATACATCTGTTAAAACTGCTATAAAATGATTAGAAAATTGATGAGCAGATAACAAGTCATTCAATACAGCATAGACATGATTAGAAATCATCAGAAATCTGATGAAAAGATCAAATATTTTCAAAAATCTGACAGATATTGTCAAAACACATCATAGAGGTGTTAGAATTGCTTCAAAACGGTCAGAAATCTGATGAGAAGTTAAAAAGTCGTTCAATACAGCATAAACATGATTAGAAATTATCAGAAATCTGATGGAAAGATCAAACATCTTTCAAAACTTGACAGGCAATGTCATAATAATCATAAACGTGTTAGAACTACTTGAAGATGGTTGTAAATCTGATAAGAAGATCGTAAAACCATCTCAATATCGTATTAATATGATTAGAAATCATCAGAAATCTGATAGAAAGGTAAAAAAATCTCCGAAAACCTGACAGATAATGTTATAATATGTCATAAATCTGTTAGAACTACTTAAAATTGAAGAAAAGATAATAAATTATTCAACATAGTGTAAACATGATTAGAAATCATCAGAAATCAGATAGAAAGATCAAAAATTTTCCAAAAATCTGACAGACAATGTCATAAATCTGATAAAACTGCTTTAAGATGAATAGAAAATTGATGAGCAGATAAAAAGTCATTCAATACAGCATAGACATGATTAGAAATCATCAGAAATCTGACGGAAAGATCAAATGTATTTCAAAACTTGACAGGTAATGTCATAACACATCATAAATGTGTTAGCACTACTTCAAAATGGTTATAAATCTGATAAGAAGATCGTAAAACGTTTAATATCGGATTAACATGATTAGAAATCATCAGAAATCTGATAGAAAGATAAAAAATCTTCCAAAATCTGACAGATAATGTCATAATATGTCATAAATCTGTTAGAACTACTTAAAATTGAAGAAAAGATAATAAATTGTTCAACATAGTATAAACATGATTAGAAATCATCAGAAATCTGATAGCAGGTTCAAAATTTTTCCAAAAATCTGACAGACATGTCATAACATGTCATAAATCTGTTAAAATTGGTTTAAAATGATTAGAATCCTGATGAGAAGATAATAAATCGGTCAAAGTAACATAAAGATGATTAGAAATCATCAGAAGTCTGATGGAAAGATCAAATATCTTCAAAAAATCTGACAAACAGTGTCAAAACACATCATAAAGCTGTTAGAACTACTTCAAAACGGCCAAAAATCTGATGAGAAGATAAAAAGTCGTTCAATACAGCATAAACATGATCAGAAATCATCAGAAATCTGATGGAAAATCAAACATCTTTCAAAACTTGACAGACAATGTCATAACATATCATAAGTGTGTTATAACTACTTCAAGATGGTTATAAATCTGATAAGAAGATCGTAAAACGTTCAATATCGCATTAATATGATTTAGAAATCATCAGAAATCTGATAGAAAGTAAAAAAATCTTCGAAAACCTGACAGATAATGTTATAATATGTCATAAATCTGTTAGAACTACTTGAAATTGAAGAAAAGATAATAAATTATTCAACATAGTATAAACATGATTAGAAATCATCAGAAATCAGATAGAAAGATCAAAAATTTTCCAAAAATCTGACAGACAATGTCAAATCTGATAAAACTGCTTTAAGATGATTAGAAAATTGATGAGCAGATAACAAGTCATTCAATACAGCATAGACATGATTAGAAATCATCAGAAATCTGACGGAAAGATCAAATGTATTTCAAAACTTGACAGGCAATGTCATAACACATCATAAATGTGTTAGCACTACTTCAAAATGGTTATAAATCTGATAAGAAGATCGTAAAACGTTTAATATCGGATTAACATGATTAGAAATCATCAGAAATCTGATAGAAAGATAAAAAATCTTCCAAAATCTGACAGATAATGTCATAATATGTCATAAATCTGTTAGAACTACTTAAAATTGAAGAAAAGATAATAAATTATTCAAGATAGTATAAACATGATTAGAAATCATCAGAAATCTGATAGCAGGTTTAAAATTTTTCCAAAAATCTGATAGACATGTCATAACATGTCATAAATCTGTTAAAATTGGTTTAAAATGATTAGAAAACTGATGAGAAGATAATAAATCGGTCAACGTAACATAAAGATGATAAGAAATCATCAGAAATCTGATGGAAAGATCAAATATCTTCCAAAAATCTGACAAACAGTGTCAAAACACGTCATAAAGCTGTTAGAACTACCTCAAAACGGCCAAAAATCTGATGAGAAGATAAAAAGTCGTTCAATACAGCATAAACATGATCAGAAATCATCAGAAATCTGATGGAAAATCAAACATCTTTCAAAACTTGACAGGCAATGTCATAGCATATCATAAATGCGTTAGCATTACTTCAAAATGGTTATAAATATGATAAAAAGATCGTAAAACGTTTAATATCGGATTAACATGATTAGAAATCATCAGAAATCTGATAGAAAGATAAAAAATCTTCCAAAATCTGACAGATAATGTCATAATATGTCATAAATCTGTTAGAACTACTTAAAATTGAAGAAAAGATAATAAATTGTTCAACATAGTATAAACATGATTAGAAATCATCAGAAATCTGATAGCAGGTTCAAAATTTTTCCAAAAATCTGACAGACATGTCATAACATGTCATAAATCTGTTAAAATTGGTTTAAAATGATTAGAATCCTGATGAGAAGATAATAAATCGGTCAAAGTAACATAAAGATGATTAGAAATCATCAGAAGTCTGATGGAAAGATCAAATATCTTCAAAAAATCTGACAAACAGTGTCAAAACACATCATAAAGCTGTTAGAACTACTTCAAAACGGCCAAAAATCTGATGAGAAGATAAAAAGTCGTTCAATACAGCATAAACATGATCAGAAATCATCAGAAATCTGATGGAAAATCAAACATCTTTCAAAACTTGACAGGCAATGTCATAGCATATCATAAATGCGTTAGCATTACTTCAAAATGGTTATAAATATGATAAAAAGATCGTAAAACGTTTAATATCGGATTAACATGATTAGAAATCATCAGAAATCTGATAGAAAGATAAAAAATCTTCCAAAGCCTGACAGATAATGTCATAATATGTTATAAATCTGTTAGAACTACTTAAAATTGAAGAAAAGATAATAAATTGTTCAACATAGTATAACCATGATTAGAAATCTCATCAGAAATCTGATAGCAGGTTCAAAATTTTTCCAAAAATCTGATTGACATGTCATAACATATCATAAATATGTTAGAATTGGTTTAAAATTATTAGAAACCTGATGAGAAGATAATTAATCGGTCAACGTAACATAAAGATGATTAGAAATCATCAGAAATCTGATGGAAAGATCAAATATCTTCCAAAAATCTGACAAACAGTGTCAAAACACGTCATAAAGCTGTTAGAATTACTTCAAAACGGCCAGAAATCTGATGAGAAGATAAAAAGTCGTTCAATACAGCATAAACATGATCAGAAATCATCAGAAATCTGATGGAAAATCAAACATCTTTCAAAACTTGACAGGCAATGTCATAACATATCATAAATGCGTTAGCACTACTTCAAAATGGTTATAAATCTGATAAGAAGATCGTAAAACGTTCAATATCACATTAATATGATTAGAAATCGTCAGAAATCAGATAGAAAGATAAAAAATCTTCTAAAACATAACAAACAATGTCATAAATCTGTTAGATCTGCTTTAAACTGGCCAGACATTAGATCAGTATGTAATAAATTGCTCAACGTGGCATAAACACTATTTGAAATCATCAAAAATCTGATGAAAATATCAAATATTTTTCTATGAGACAATATCATAACATTGTTAGATATCTGATAAAATTTCCAGATGTTGTTAATATTGTCACAATCATCGGATATCTGATTAAAATAATCTAGCAGACAGCGCCTAAATTATTTATCATTATCAGGTAACTCATAAAACTGTCAAAAATCTAATTAACAGTGCCATAAGTTTAAAAAAGTTTTTTCAAAAGTGTTAAAAACCTGATAGAATGATTATTAGTTCATCATTTCATGAAATCTGATAAGTTTTTTTTTAATTGTTCAATAACTCGTAAGCATCATCAGACATAATCAGAAATCTTATCAAAAATCTTGACAAATAATGTCGTGAGTTGATCAACATTGCAATAAATCAGACATTTGATTAAAATCGCTATAAATTCTGCAACATTGTTAGATATCTGATACAATTATCAGGCAGTGTAGTAGCACTTCCATAAATCTATTAAAACGTATTAAAAATGGCCAGAAATATGCTAGAATGATCAAAAATGTTTCAATATCTTCAATTATCAGAAAATTCATTATATTTTGGGAACATCAAAACTTGAAAGATTCCATTGAAATGTATTACACAGATAACGTATACAAGTTGGGTTGTTAACAAAGTTTTTTGTATGAAAAAATTTGAAACAAATCGTTGACAGGTTTTAATATTCAAAGTTACGTGAAACTGCAAAACTTTTATCGCATCAATTTACGTCCGATATTAAAATTGGGTCGGGTCGGAAGGGTTTCTTAATATCTCGCACGCGAATTCACCCCGGCTTTGAGAGACGAGAGCTACTGATGCAGAATTTAATTTCTACGGGGTGAGCGAAAACGACGACGACGATTTATTGGGCATATTCCGAGATTTCTTTAAATCTATTCGCGTACGTAGTTTTAGAAAAGCGAGGGTACGTTTTCGAGTTCAAAAGGAATTCATCAAAGAAACGACTCGAACGACCCGTTTTCTTTAAATGTAAAATACGACCGTTTTTATAACCCTTAATAATATCGCCATCTTACCAATTTTACATATTATCCTATTTTAAATATATACACGGTACTAAAAGCTTTTCAACACAATTTTTATTCAAATATATCTTGTTGTATGTGTATTAGGTTCTACCCAAATCTACCTATACACAGAATCAATTTACTGGATGAATTACCAGATTAGGGACGGAAGGAAGCACCGTAAAGCTCAATCAGCTGTCTTTGAATGCATAGGATCCCGGAGCCATTGTCCTAATCGGATTGTCAACCAGAGATGATAAATACTCTGAAACGCATTTGATGCTAATACGGGTTTGACACATATGTGGCGATTTAATTTGGAAATCTTTGTTTTAGCTTTGCCGAAAGAAGATCCTCAAATAACTGGAGTTGAAACGGAATATCAAATTGGGGAGGAGGTCAATTTAAATTGTACATCGGGAAGGAGCCACCCTGCTTCAATTTTACATTGGTACATAAATGAACAACAGGTAGGCGAAATAAATAAGTTATAAACATTTTGATATGATACAAACATTCGCGGGGAATTTTCAACGGAATTATCAGTAATAAAAGCGACATTACAGGTGATATCGCAAAGGTAGTAATAATAAGGCGGGTGCTCGTAGTAAAAAAAAATAAATAAAAGGGGCTTCTGGAAAAGTTGCTAGTCACGCCAGCGTCGCGACGCAATGATAAATGCTGATAGCGGCCGTCGTGTTGGTAATTCCGTTTCGTGCTTTAGCGTTATATTTAAGAAAACATTTGTCAAAGTAATAGCGACCAAATGAGGCCAGTTTGACCGGTCGTACGTACAACAACAAAAAAAGGGAACACTACATAAATCACACGCGGATTTTCACAAGGGCGTTATTTTGCCACCACCGACACCGTGCTTTGCCAACTATAACGAATTCCATAAATTATTAGCCTCTATAACCTAAACAGGGAGACACTCCGCGTGGTTAATTAATAAATTCTCTTTGGTGCGACGTTGCCATTCGCACGAGGTCTTCTCGCAAGTTGCAACGGCGCCGCTCGCCCTCAGGTGACGCCATTAACGTCGAAATGAGTTACGGAGCCCCTAAAGTGCATCCCCAGCAGATGCTAAATGCTCGTCCCTTCGTCGTAACTGCAAAACGCTATTTGTACATAATATCATGCCCGCTAAAAGAGCGTAGCGCCGAGTTCTCCTTTTTCATCATATTCTATTTAAGTATTTCCGGTTTTAGTATTTCTCTTAAAACAATTAAAACAACGTCTGCGTGTGTTTCGGTTCTACCTAATTTTAGATTGATAATCCGATTTGTACGTTGCGGTTTTAAGCTTTGTTTAGTTTTCAAACTGATTAAAATTCCAACTTTCCGTCGTTGCTAGATACAACCCTCACGAGAAAAGTCATTAAAAATTTAACCGAAACAGCTTAACTCTTTATCTAATCAATTTTAAGTAACTTTCAAAATATTATTTTACATTCATAATAAATTTTAACTTATAATAAGTTATTGTGTAATGTATGAAGTTTTGGTGGAGGCGCCGGGCAAAAACCTTAAAGCACATATAATTAATAATAAATAAATAAATATTTAATTAATACATATAAATTAATTAAATAAGGCTTACTAAATAATTTTGGAAAGTAAAGTGAGTGATTTATTCGTCTCTTACCTTTTTTTGCATCAAACTTGGTTATCAGGAACATGGTAAAAATAGTTATTTTTCGTGTCGAAGACTCTGCATTCATCTGATTGTACCTAGATTGCTGTATTCATTGAACTAAAATTAGAACTAATGCTAGACCTAGAACTAGAATCATTCGGGTTTAGCCGAACGTCTCTTAAGACGGCTAAACCCGAATGATTCTAGTTCTAGGTCTAGCGTTAGTTCTAGTTTTAATTGTTATTCAGCGCTAGATTGCTATAAATTTTTATTGAATTAAAAGTAGAACTAACACTAGACCTAGAACTAGAATCATTCGGGTTTAGCCAAACGTCTCTTAAGACGGCTAAACCCGAATGATTCTAGTTCTAGGTCTAGCGTTAGTACTAATGCCAGAGTTAGTTCTAGTTTTAGCAGTTATTTAATGTTAAATTATTGTACACTTTCATTGAACCAAAACTAGAACTAACACTAGACCTAGAACTAGAATCATTCGGGTTTAGCCGAACGTCTCTTAAGACGGCTAAACCCGAATGATTCTAGTTCTAGGTCTAGTGTTAGTCTAATGTTAGTGTTAGTTCTAATTTTAGTTGTTATTCAAGGTTAGATTATTGTATACTTTTGTTGAACTAAAATTAGAACTAATGCTAGACCTAGAACTAGAATCATTCGGGTTTAGCCGAACGTCTCTTAAGACGGCTAAACCCGAATGATTCTAGTTCTAGGTCTAGCGTTAGTTCTAATGCCAGAGTTAGTTCTAGTTTTAGCAGTTATTCAATGTTAAATTATTGTACACTTTCATTGAACCAAAACTAGAACTAACACTAGACCGTCTTAAGCCGTCTTAAGAGACGTTCGGCTAAACCCGAATGATTCTAGTTCTAGGTCTAGTATTGGTTCTAATGTTAGTGTTAGTTCTAGTTTTAATTGTTATTCAGCGCTAGATTGCTGTAAATTTTTATTGAATTAAAACTAGAACTAACACTAGACCTAGAACTAGAATCATTCGGGTTTAGCCGAACGTCTTTCAAGACGGCTAAACCCGAATTATTCTAGTTCTAGGTCTAGTATTGGTTCTAATGTTAGTGTTAGTTCTAGTTTTAATTGTTATTCAGCGCTAGATTGTTGTATATTCTTATTGAACTAAAACTAGAACTAATGCTAGACCTAGAACTAGAATCATTCGGGTTTAGCCGAACGTCTCTTAAGACGGCTAAACCCGAATGATTCTAGTTCTGGGTCTAGCGTTAGTTCTAGTATTGGTTCAATAAAACTATACAGCAATTTAGCGCTGAATAATAATTAACCCGAATGAAGCAATATCTAATCTTCTGCAAACAATATCTAGTCTTCTGCAACCAATATCTAGTCCTCTGATAGCAGTATCTAGTCTTCTGCAAGCAATATTTAGCCTAGATTTATCTCTTACTATGATTTTCTAACTTTCTCCTTTCCATAGAGTTAAAAAAAAGTTGTTCGAACGATTTTTTCAATCAATCCTTCATTAGTTCCTCTAAACTTTAAAATCCCAATTACAATTAGAATATCAAGTTGCATTGAATCGTCGTATTAAGTTTTTATTTCGTCATTCTAACCTCACTTTTAACTTCTTGCTTAACAATCTTTTCTCCGTTAACCCACGGATACTAGGTCCATAACCTGTTAATTTCTATTTCAGTGCTTTAGTTTAAATGTTATTAATTTATAAGCTTATAATGACACTACCTTTCTGGCAAATATTTTTAATACCAACCTCAACGATAATAAATTTACCCTTTAAATCAGATTTGCCAACTTAAAGTAGTCATTTTGACATTTCATTTTAAATTTTTTTACTCTATTTTGCCCAATTACCACTCTGGCAGATTTTACAAGTGAGGTTGAGTGGAACTAACCATTTTGGGTTGATGTAAATTTTTTTGATTTGATAATTATCAGCAGTAAGTCCTCTGCGAGCAATATCTGGTTTTTTGCAAGCTGTATCTAGTCTTCCATTTGCAATATCTATCTTTATGTGAGCAATTTTTAATTTTCGGTCATCAGCAACTACATGATCCTCTACAAGCAACGTCTAGTCTTCTGCAAGCAGTATCTAATCTTCTGCAAACAATACCTAGTCTTCTGCAACCAATATCTAGTCCTCTGATAGCAGTATTTAGTCTTTTGCAACCAGTATCTAGTCTTCTACAAGCAATATTTAGCCTAGATTTATCTCTTACTATGATTTTTTAACTTTCTCCTTTCCATAGGTAAGACGGCTTATGGTAGTTTCCATAAGCCGTCTTAAGAGACGCATGGCTAAACCCGAATGTTTCTAGTTCTAGGTCTAGTGCTAGTGTTAACTCTTTTTCATATAACAGACTTTAGGCTATAATGGACACTCTCTTCCCGTAGTAACTATTATAACGTTATATCGAGGTTTCACTGCAATATGACGCAGACAATATGATGCAGATGTCATTCCTTCTACGATGTCTTGACGTATTCTTCGCTGATATCTTTTCTTCGATTTTTGTTAATTTTTCTCCAATCCAGCAGAGTGTAGATTGTGTGGAAATGGATACCCTTCCTTTGGGTCAGATGTAATTTGACAGGATTGAGGTTGAGGAGGATTGGGCATCAGAGTTACTGACAGTGTTGGTACTGATGGTATTTCATCAATTTTTCATAGTTCCTGTTCCTTTCTTTAACTATTTTATTCAATGCCTCATTGATGATGGGTATCTTTCCTCCATTGTGGAAGCGAGCTTTTATTCTTCTCATTATTAAATCTGGGGATCGTGGTGTTATATCCCATATCTGTTTTGCCAACGTTTTGGAAAGTGTTTGAGGAAGTGGTTCAAACACGTCTATTCTTTGCTCTTAAGTCTAAAATTAACTGTAAGCAACATGTTTTTTTTTGCGGGTTGCTTGATTGAGAGTAACTTGCTTGAATATACCCAGTATATCTTATCTTCTCTGGATTCATGCTAGTTCTTTCTGGTGTTCTCCAGGGTAGCCATCTAGGCCCTTTACTGTTTAATATTTATATTAATGATATATTCGACGTCGTTAATTATGCCCAATTTAATGTATACTGACGATTCAAAATGTTTTCTGCGTATCTCCTCACATCTTGAGTGTTTTAGATTGCAGTCTGATTTAAATAATCTTCATGCTTTTTGCTTAACTAATCGCCTTTCTTTAAACTTCCAACAAATGTGATTCTCCAATGTCTGTCAAAATTCTTCTTTATTGAGAATGGCGAGATCCGGAAATCGTATTAACATAGATCTGAGTAGTATTAAAACGTCGATTCTAGATAAGAAGTATAGGGAGGGGTGCCAACCTAAGGCCGAGGAGAAAAAAAAAAGGTTGGTAATGGAAAAGTAACTAGATCTGGTGACTTTTTTAAAAAAAGTAACCTAGTCTACCAAGGTCCGTTAAGTATTGGTTATAAGGTTATCCAACTCGAACAAATTTACGTTGGCGGGGTGAGGTGGGAAACGTGACGTCATTGGAAGAAAAATATAACATAATATGATATAATATAAATTTAATACAATATAATAATAATATTTATGTTAATAATTATTTAAAAATTAAACAAGTGTTATTGAACTCAAGAAATAAAGAGTTTGCTAGTCTACCTTAAAAAGTCACCAGATCTAGTTACTTTTCCAATACCAACCTATTTTTTTTCTCCTCGGCCTTAGGTTGGCACCCCTCCCTATAGTTTTACATTGGGCGAATGACATCACAGAGGAGCGGAGGAGCAACTTCCTATCTAGAATCGGCGTTTCTATACTACTGATCTGTTTCAGCATTCTTTCTATACATTGAAAAAATTGCTCTGTGCTGCAGTTGGTGTGTTGCCTCGGGCGTTCATTTGATATGTCATATTTATACCAGCTAGACTTATTAATATATAATATTAGGTTCGACTTGTTTCTGTACTCAGTTGAGATAAATAAATAAATAAATTAATTATGAGTTCAAGTACATAGAGGTCGATTTGTGTCATTCATGAGGTCATCACGATTAGAGGAGGTTTGTCGTTGCTGGTGGCAGATCGAAGCTGATAGATTAGCGTTGCAACTAATCCGATACATTAGGCTGGGCAGGATACTGTAGGGACATCAATTCGCGTCACGAGGCCAAATGATACATTATGGTCCGTACGCTTCCCTTCGGCATCAACAGACCCATAAATTCAACAATGCGTCCGGGCAAATTGCAGTTAGGAAGTGTCGCGGTGCTCGTACGCACCACGACCTTATTGACGTCATTACCATTAAATTTACCGTTAATATCCATCCGGGAAATCAAACGACGTTAAATCGTAACCGAAAAATGATAACGGGGAAATTATACTGGGATCGTAAATAATATTTTGAGAAAATCTGACGTTTCGAATATCCGATTAGCCGGACCTGAGCGGCATGACAGGCACCGGGTTCCGGAAATCCCGCGATAATCCCGCAGGAAATCGAGTACAGAACCGGGTTCGCCTGATTGGACGTCAACGGCGGCCGCAGACGGTCTCGGTTGGGTTCTAGACTGCTCCTGCAGGAGAACCGGAGTCGTTTGTGTCCTCTCTCCCGGCGGTACCTACGGCGGGAACGAGAGAAGCTCGACAGCAAATCGTTACGTCCTGCTTTACGCAACACGTTGAGTGGCGCACCACAGACGTTTCGTCTCCCTAATTGGCACCTCAAATTTAACAACCGACCAGTTTGACGACTACTTCAATACCCACTACTACACTCTAGCTTTAACTTAAATGTTTAAGTCCTTTTTCTTTCTGTTACAGATTGTAAGTCCAACTGCTTTAATTCACTACCCACCCGTACAACATAAACATGGATTAGTGTCGAGCATCTTAGGGTTAAGATTTATACTAACGGCGCGTCATTTTATGGGTGGTTCAATGAAGATTAAGTGTGTCGCGACGTTATCGCCGGTTTTATGGCGAGGAGATCGAGAAAGTATAGTCCAAAGTCTACCGGTGAAACAAATGAGAGAAGCTCTCCTATTGGGTGAGTACTAGATTATTCCTCCTTACTAAAAAATCCTTTTTTATCCCTTTTTTAATCGTTAGTCGAAGCTTCTCGTCGTCTGGTCCTCGTGACTTTAATGTAAATTTTCGCCTCCCCAAAGAGAGACGCTTTAAAACTTCGCCCAGGACGAGGTCCAGTGACGTAACACCCAAGTTTTTCCACCCCGTCCATCTAAACGGGAACAGCGCGTCTCGTCCGCTAATTACCTTCTTCCGTCTCGCCCTCTTCTCCACGTCTCGTTCTTCTCCCGTAGTTTTTCAATTAGAAAAATCCCGTCGGCGAGGAAATCGCGGGTAATTACGTGACGAAAAACAAATCCGAAACGTTTCTCCTTCGCGCGTCGGCGTCGAAGTTTCTCGTTTTCCCTCGCTTTTCCGCGACCCCTCGTTGCGGGAACGACACAGATATGCAAATAATGGGCGTCGCGACGCTGCACCCGCGTCCCAAAGCGGGCCGAAACTTTTAACCAGCTCCAGTCTCTCTCTCTCTTCCTCTTTTCCCCCACGGAAACAGAATACTCTGTTTTGAATGCGCCCTCCGTCGCTCGAACGTATACTCAAGTTGCGTTTATTAAATTATATACGACCAACTTTAACAAGTCGAAGTTTGCCATTCGGGTTCGTTTATCTAGGAATACTATATCTCTCGTTATAAACTATATCAAATATTATACTTTTACTTTTATGGTTTAAACAGAGTTTCACAAACTTTGAACCTAATTCTAAATAAATAAAGTATACGAAGTAAACATTTTTATGAAATTTGACATCTTTCATAATAAATATAACTCGCCCCTTTGAAGGAAATTAACTCCTTCAATCCGAATTGATCTAATTTTAATCATAACCTCAAATATCCAAGAATTAATTTGAAACAAAAAACTTTATTAGATCTTGTAAATTGTAGATAGGTAACATTATCAAATTTCACCTTGCTCGGTGAAAAGAATATCCATTAAAACTTTAATGCTGCTACGAGCAAGTTCTAAAATATTTCCGAATTTGACAGCGTCGGTGTTGATAAACAACGTAGCGTATCTCATTCCAAGAGAACTGGTCTACAGTAGGCTAAGTCTCTCTTCAGCCCACAGTCCAATCCTATGTTTGATCATCGCAAATGATATACCAACTGCTGGCTCTGGCCCAACAAACGTTTTATCACTGCCAAAAACACTGCAAAATTCTTAAATGCTTAGAAATATTTGATGATTTCTTAAAAGCGCAGATAAAGTATATACAGGGTGAGTCAAAAAAACGCAGACAATTAGGGCAGGTAATATATCAAAAACTGAGATGAAAAATCTTAATATATATGGGGTTGCAAATGTCTCCTTAACGAGATATAGCGGGTCAAAGATATTATTAATAATTCTAGGATTTGTAGTAGTTTTTGGATTTGCAGAGACTTTCGGAGTATTTCCTAGAATTTTTAGAAGATTTCCAAACAATTTTCATACATTTTCGAAGGATTCTCAAGGATTTCGAAGTAATGCCTAACATTTCTCAATATATCTTTGTTTTACTCGGAGTGAGCTTCATGGATTGTTAAACATTTATATACAGGGTGATTCTCAACCTATACGCATAAATTTGAGGACTTATTCCTCATGAAAAATAGACTAATAGATGAAAAAATTGTAGTAGAAATTTTTTAGTTTTCTAGATATCCGATATAATCGGCGACATCTAGATAATGTGTTTCCTGGAAGATGAATAGATCGAGATGGTCCAATGCCCTAGCCACCTTGATCACCCAGCCTCAATCCTCTTGATTTTTACTTTTCGGGTTACTTAAAAAGCATAGTATACGTCACGGAAGTTAAATACTGAGCAAATATTGCAAAACCAGATACCTGGGCAAATTCGCACAACATCCTGGATTAGACCACGCTAATGGGAGATCGTGGGAAATAACTTTGAACACGAACCGATAATCGCTCCGTCCTTATCAAATCAGATTGAGATAATTAAAGATTTTACCCAAAAAAAGTTTATGAACTGGTGGGATAGGGTTAAGGACTGCCATCTGTCTAAGGAAGTATTACATTATCCTTCAGCAGAGGCAGCCTTGTCTTTCGTAAGGCGTGGCAGAAACGCTCTACGAACTGTAACGGGACTCGTCACGGGTCACTGTAAGGTAAACAAGCATCTTTATAACCTTAAGCTTGCTATTAGTCCTCTCTGTCGCCTCTGTAAAGAGAGCGAGGAGACGGTCCGACACATCTTGTGTGAATGCCCCACTCTGCAAGACCTGAGAATGAGAGACTTCGGAGAGGAATGGCCGACCACAGATGGCATCAGGAACACACCTCTGAGCTGTATCCTAGCCTTCGGAAATTCCTTAGGCTGGTTGATGTAGCCGGAGAGAGTGTAGGAGGACGTACAAGGGGCTCGTTGGGGCCTAGGTGCTGTATGCGGAAGCATACCCTCCGCTTTCCTATATACATAACTTTGAACACTTGCTGTGATGTTATTTTAAAATGTTCTATGTATTTTTGATTTGAAAGCAAATATCACGGATATCTATGAAACAGAAAACCTTTTACTACAAATTTTTTCGCCTATTAGTCATTATTCCTTGAATCGTCGTCATAGGTTGAGAATCATCCTGTATATAAATGCTTAATAATCCATATATATCCAAGAATTTTAAAGAATTTGTGGGATTTAATTGGATTCATCAATATTTTCCAATCATTTCAAAATGATTTTTGAGAACTAGAGGATTTTAAGAGATTTTCAACAATCTCCAAGATGTGCCTCGGGATTACCTTCATGGAATTTTAATAATTTGCATATACAGGGTGTATATAAATTGTTGCGAAAGATTTTAAGGGGTAATTTTTCAACGAAAATTAAGGAGGGTCTTTCATATAACTTTTTGTTCAAAACTCCTTCTCCTCCAAGTTATAGCCCTCTAAAGTTAAGAGAAAAATCTGCAACTTTCTTATCTCTTGACATTTTACAACTAACAATTTGTTAGTTTGATCACAAAAAATAAAATAATGGTGTGATCAATTTGACATAACTTCATTTCTTTGACTAATAATAACCAATCTCTGAATTAATTCACTTGAGCCTGTGTATTATTTTATTTTTTTGTGATCAAACTAACAATTTTAGGAGAAAATGTCAAGAGACAAAAAAGTTGCGTATTGAATACTTGCTTGTTTACATTGTTCTTTGTTTCGTTGCTATGGCAACCAACATTGTTATTTTAAATGGGATGCATATGTTTTTTTTTTGCACATTTTAATAGAGGATAAATCCCTCTACGCGATCAACATATCAAATCATATGGTTGTATAATCGAGTTGATATTTAAAGCTGTCAATGGTGTTATTTCGGCGCCTACTTTGATTGTAATTAGCTGATTTAATACTGCCAAAAAACGCACTTTTTCTCGATTTTTTCTTATACAACCGTATGATTTGATAAGTTCATCGCATAGAGGGACTTATCCTCTATCAAAGTGTGCAAAAAAATATATGCATCCTATTTAAAATAACAATGTTGGTTGCCATAGCAATGAAACAAAAAACAATATAATAAAGAAACTTGTATTTGAAACATTTTTCTTTAAAACCACAAATGGCGAAGTTATTGGCTATATTCTATAGTTCATTTTTTTTCTATAATACTTGTCAATGTAAATTATTTAGAGTTTCTGTTGGTATTATCTAGGACCCTTATAAAATTTATGTTGTTTTCCTGATTTTTAGTAACACTTTCAGTAACTAAATAGTTGAGGTTAAAATACTAATACATTTTTAGATAAATACGATTTTAACGAAGTACATATTTGTTGTAAAAACGTGCTACAAAGTAATTAATAGAATAAAATACGTTTTCTAGGTAAATAAATGGCAAATAAACACCCCACAACACTTTTACTGCACCTTTTCTTTTTGAATAACGAAAGCTCAAACGTCAATGTGACATATTTACTTCAAAACATGATAAAACAAAACTCCCTGTTAATTTTGCCAACTTTACAACAAATTGACAGGTATTATAGAAAAAAATTAACTATAGACATTTGGGACACCTGTATATCCAAGGATCTAAAGAATTTTTGGAATTCATTTAGATGCAACAAGATTTTCAGTGTATTTCTAAACATTTCAAGATGATTTCTAGGAACTTACCAAGCAGATCTTAAAGTTTCAAAAGATTTTCTAGAATTTTCAAAAATATTTAAAAATTGTCAGCTGGGATTTGTTTAAAATATATCTGCTTTTTGAAGGAGTTTGTGCATATTTACAGTTTGTACAATTTATTGGAATATTTCCTAGTATATATTGAGTTGCATCTTAAGTAACAAAGATTTTTAGACTATATCCAAGAATTTGTAGAAGATTTTCAACAATTCCTAAGAAATACCTAAGATTCTTAAGGATTTCTTTCATTTTTATGGATTACTGCTTAAAATGTTTAGAGGTTTCTGATAGTTTTCATATGTCTCTGAACTTTCAACGTTTTTGAAGTGTTTTCAAGCATTTCTAGAAAATTTTTATAATTCCTGGAGGATTTCCTAGGATTTCTAAGGATATGTAACAGTTTCAAGTGATTTCTAGGTGATTTCTCTCTTCTTTTCTTCTTCTCTTTCTAATTTGGATGCGTCCAGATTTACAGAAAATATTAAATTTTTTGCGAGACAACTCTAATTTTAGTTGTTATTCAACGTCACACTTTCATTGATCTAAAACTAGAACTAACACTAGACCTAGAACTAGAATCATTCGGGTTTAGCCGAACGTCTCTTAAGACGGCTAAACCCGAATGATTCTAGTTCTAGGTCTAGCGTTAGTTCTGGTTTTACACTAGCACTATCACCAGAACTAACCCAAGACCTAGAACTAGAATTATTCAGGTTTAGCCATACTGATAATGTTTCTAGGCGACCGGCAATATCTAGAATTTTCCTAGTGCAATTTTTGCTTAAAATTGATCAAAAGCAACCCTTCTTTTTGGCCCTTCAATTTGAAAACACCTCTGAATTAAAACATAGAGTATAGTGATCCTAAAATCAATCTGATGTGAGATCACTCAAGTGTTGTGATCCTATGTTTGGCCATCGCAAATGATATACCAACTGCTGGATCTAGCCCCACAAACGCTTTAGCTCTGCCCTCTCGTGCTAGCTCATCTGCTGCTTCATTGCCAGCAACCCTAAGAGTGACCTGGGACACATATCAGAGAAATTCTGCTATCACAACTCAGTGTGTTTAAAGTTCTTTTATAGTTATTAACGCGGCTTGACTGTCTGAGACAAATCGTACTGTCACGTTCTTCACCCCTCTTTCAAGAAAGATTATAGCAATAACAAATACTTCTCCCTGGAATATAGTACAGGATTATGTACCCACGCTGTAAGCTTGCTTAATCCGAAGTCTCTGGCAGTATACTCCTGCCCCGACACCTTCTTCATCCATAATATCTGCCTGAATCAGAGAATTTTCGTTTTCGATCCAGGACTGCCGTTGATTCAATAGATTCTGGCATAGAGCATTAATCACTGGTAGTGATCCCGTCGAATCTGACGGCATTGATAGCACATTATCAGTGCTTATAGTGCCTTCTTCAGCCTATTGGTAGGACATGTCGGAGCAGTTATCATATTGCTGAAACCTGTAAATGGTAGTTTTGGCCACTTTCTCTATATGATGCAGAGATAGACCTTTGCAAGCAAAACATCCATTGGTAGAGTTGAGGTTGTGATTATCGCACTAGAGGTTGCCAATCCAGCTACTCGTTGAATTCGTGTAAGTTTGCTGATAACTGCAGTAAGACTTAGTACTATTCTTTTATTTGTGATATGACCCCATAGAAATATTTAAAAGATAAATGATGCACTTTCAAGAAGGATTATAGCACCCACGTCAATAGCAAATACTTCTCCCTGGAATACATTATTACGTACCCAGGCTGTAAGTTTGCTTAATCCGAAGTCTCTGGCAGTATACTCCTACCCCGACACCTTCTTCATCCATAATATCTGCCTGAATCAGAGAATTTTCGTTCTCGATTCAGGACTGCCGTTGATTCAGTAGATTCTGGCATCGAGCATTAATCACTGGTAGTGATCCCATCGAATCTGACGGCATTGATAGCACATTATCAGTGCTTATAGTGCCTTCTTCAGCCTATTGGTAGGACATGTCGGAGCAGTTATCATATTGCTGAAACCTGTAAATGGTAGTTTTGGCCACTTTCTCTATATGATGCAGAGATAGACCTTTGCAAGCAAAACATCCATTGGTAGAGTTGAGGTTGTGATTATCGCACTAGAGGTTGCCAATCCAGCTACTCGTTGAATTCGTGTAAGTTTGCTGATAACTGCAGTAAGACTTAGTACTATTCTTTTATTTGTGATATGACCCCATAGAAATATTTAAAAGATAAATGATGCACTTTCAAGAAGGATTATAGCACCCACGTCAATAGCAAATACTTCTCCCTGGAATACATTATTACGTACCCAGGCTGTAAGTTTGCTTAATCCGAAGTCTCTGGCAGTATACTCCTACCCCGACACCTTCTTCATCCATAATATCTGCCTGAATCAGAGAATTTTCGTTTTCGATCCAGGACTGCCGTTGATTCAATAGATTCTGGCATCGAGCATTAATCACTGGTAGTGATCCCGTCGAATCTGACGGCATTGATAGCACATTATCAGTGCTTATAGTGCCTTCTTCAGCCTATTGGTAGGACATGTCGGAGCAGTTATCATATTGCTGAAACCTGTAAATGGTAGTTTTGGCCACTTTCTCTATATGATGCAGAGATAGACCTTTGCAAGCAAAACATCCATTGGTAGAGTTGAGGTTGTGATTATCGCACTAGAGATTGCCAATCCAACTACTCGTTGAATTCGTGTAAGTTTGCTGATAACTGCAGTAAGACTTAGAATAACTTAATATCATTCTGTTATTTGTGATACGACCAAATAGAAATATGTAAAAGATAAATGATGCAAAAAATAAATGTATCCATTTCCCAATCGGATAATTAAGCAGTCGTTGGGCAATTTTCGATAGCATCGAAACCTATCAATTCTCGCCAAGTTTCAATTGGATTTCGGGGCGCGAGCTTTCGAAATCCCGACGCCACTCTCGACGAGCTTTAAATTGACGCGAACTTCATCCGTGTAAAAAAAAATTTTTCGCTGGCGGCGACACCAACGTGGGGCCCAATAGTCGGAATTATCTCTGGCGTTGTCATCGACTGGCGCCGCATTTTCGCCGTCCCAGATTACGCCGCCGTCCGAAAAACGCGGCCAATGGAAATTCTCTTTTTCACAAATTTCCACCTACTCTTTTCCATTTTTGTTCCCTACACTCGCGTTGGCTTCTACGAATACGAAGCATTAGAATTTTGCATTGACGTTTGTGTTAGCTGGTGCAGTCGATATTCACAAACCCAAATAGATAGATAATCTGATATTGAACCGGAGTTCGTTCGACAAAGGGAAATTGAATGGTAAATTCAATCTCCACAATAACTATTTGTTGGCGCCAACGCTCGTTATAAACCGGATGTTACCGCGATGAGTACTTTAGATCATTTTTTAAATAACATCGAAATTTATTCGTTGTAATTACCTTCGCTGGGGGAAATTGGATCGAAGTTAAACCAGCAAAAGATATCCCAAGCAACTGGTTCTCCAACTTCAAACAAAGTTGAACCTGATTGTGTATTCCGTGCGAAAGCGACGCCGCACGGAAAATACGATGCGCTTTTCGTTGCGTAATCACATTTTCTTTTAACTGACTTTTTCTTGTTTTATATTTCCAGTGAGAAGCGACTCATCCGGAAATCAACCTTACTACGCATCAACATTCTTCGCGATCATCATCTCGATGTTTTTCACGTGACTAATTGTGGTATAAACCAAAATAAATCGACGACCTAAACAACACATCGAACTTTTAAATAAACAAAAAGAAAGTAAAATTATAAAAAAAAGTGGTGTATTTCTTTTTTTCTACGCTTAGTGTTTACTTCAAAGAATTTACGAACGAAGAAATGTAAAGAAGACGGTTCCAAGTTCCACGACAACTCAACAACGAAGGTTAGCATTTTTCAGACAATAGAATTCAAAAAAAAATGAAAAAAACAATTGGTGAACTCAAAGAATAGAATTTAAAAGATAAAATTAGTCGCAACTTTTCGATTCGAGTGCGCGTTTTTTATTTATTCCATAGCACCAGTGTTAATTAAAACGTTGAAAAAGCAATTTAAATTTAAATTGGGCGATCGCGACGCTGCCGCGCGTTACGAGGTACCAGCAACGTCCGCGACGCGACGCTCGTGACGTCATCACGTCGTTTAATAACGTTTTTACGTCTGTTTATTGTTCTCCGGCAAACAGCGAAACTCGATGTTAGTTAATTAGGTGACGCTACGGGCGATCTCGCTTTACTTTCCACTCGAAACCCCGGATTTAATATTTTCGTAACCGACATTGTCATCGACGGTGTAGTCAAATAGAAGTTTGTTTTTAATGTATTCAGTATTTGTAATTTTGTTACATTGCTCGAAAAAATCAACATTGGCTAATAATAGCCGATATTAACTATTAGATACAGAATCGGTCTCAAAATCGGTTCTAGAATCCTGTAAAGTTGATATGTCAAATCTAGCGCCTCGCCCGTAAATGACCTTGGCGGTTGACCTTGAAGGTAAATGTCTTCTTATAAGAGACTTTGTATTTTTATCAAAATACAGGGTGTTTCGGTGACTCGAAAAATTTTGTAAAAGTCTTAAAATTTCAAAGATACAGGCCATCAAAGTTATGAAATTTTAACACATTTTTCCAAATATCTTAAACACTATTTACAGTAGAACGCTGAAATTTGGTACAATACAGGGTCATCCACGACGACCGTCCATTAGAACTTTACAGGGTTCTGGCCAAAATACAAATTTGAAAATTCAGATTTAAGTATTATCAATTGCGTTTTCTTCATCTAAAATATTTTCAAATATCTAACAGTTCCGGTTATACCGGAAGTCGCCACCTACTTTATTTTTTTAAATGGAATGCCCTGTATATTTTTACATATTTGGATTTGTCTGTTTTCAAGGTTTATGAATGACTTTACTTTTTGCAATTTGATTCGGCCGTTCTCGAGTTATTTGAATTTTTCTAGAAAAATCTGCTCCAGCAGACATTTGTTCAAAAAATCAGAGAACACTCGATTTTTGGGGTATCAATTTAGGATTCAGAACATGCTTAAGCAACATGATGGAGTATGTTTTGGTGCCGAGTATGGCTGTCTAAAACGTTTGGTCACTTTACTATGGCACGTTACCTTTTCGAAACTTGGAAGTACCATAACTTCATTTCTTTAAATGGCACCCCCCATATTTTATTACTTAGTCGTCTTCGGTGTCTCATTTTACATCTTTTATATCCCGTATGTTCTATACCTAACATTTATAGTTTGGGAAATAATTGTGGTTTATTGAAAAATGCACACAAATATCGATATTTAACCTAGTGTGTCATGAATACCTAGTGCGACCTAGTGAATAACTGAATAAAGTGGAGGTTTGAAAATTCGCAGACTTGTGATGTTTGATACCAGCTTTGTAACTAAAGTATTTTCAGGTTCCGGGTACTTGTGGTTACACCGGAAGAGGTGACAATTTTCATATTTTAAATGGAACACCCTGAGTTTTATAACACTTTTCAATCAAAAATGTCAATACAACGTTACTTTTTATAATTTATAAATCATCAACTTTGACCGCCGGAAAAAAAATTTTGTGTTGGGAATGTTGTTGTGGTTATGTACTATCAGAGGATCAGCAAGGAAAGAGTAAACAGTTTGACATTTGCTAAAGCTATGGTTTATTTCTGTTGGAGTGTAATTGGAGTGTAATCAGAGGATCAGTAAGGAAAGAGTAAACAGTTTGACATTTGCTAAAGCTATGGTTTATTTCTGTTGGTGTGATGACCAGGTTACTTTTTGTAGTGATCTGTTCTCAAGAAATGCCACGTTTGGAATTTAGTAAAGAGCATTATGTGAATTTGATAATAATTTATGGAGAGTGCAACCAAATAGTTGCGCGTACATGTCGGCTGCAATATACAAGGGCCTAAAATTGAACAAAAATTTCAAAAATGTAATGAAAAACAGGGTGTTCCATTTGAAATATGAAAATTGTCACTTCTTTCGGTGTAACTGCAAGCACCCTGAACCTGAAAATATTTTAGTAAAAAGCTGGCATCAAACACAGAAGTCTGCAAATTTTCAAAAGGCCAGTTCATATGGTTATATACTAGGTCACACTAGGTATTTATGGCACACTAAGTTAAATATCGATATATGTGTGCATTTTTCAAAAAACCCTAATTATCTCTCAAACTATAAATGTTAGGTATAGGACATATGGGATATAAAAGATGTAAAATGAGACACCGAAGACGACTAAGTAATAAAATATGGGGTGTGCCATTTAAAAAAATGAAGTTATGGTATTTCCAAATTTCGAAAAGTTAACGTGCCGTAGTAAAGTGTCCAAACGATCTAGACAGCCGTACTCGGCACCAAAACATACTCCATCATGTTGCTTACGCATGTTCTCAATCCTAAATTGATATCCCAAAAATCGAGTGTTCTCTGATTTTTTGAACAAATGTCTGCTGGAGCAGATTTTTCTAGAAAAATTCGAATAACTCGAGAACGGATTAATCAAATTGCAAAAAGTAAAGTTATTCATAAACCTTGAAAACAGACAAATCCAAATATGTAAAAATGTATAGGGTGTTCCATTTAAAAAAATAAAGTAGGTGGCGACTTCCGGTATAACCGGAAGTGCTAGAAATCTGAAAATATTTTAGTCGAAGAGAACGCAATTAATAATACTTAAATCTGAATTTTCAAATTTTGGTATTGGCCAGAACCCTGTAAAGTTCTAATGGACGGTCGTNAAGATGGTTTCAGTAAACTTATCTAGACCTAGGAATATTGCTTTGATGACTTTTTTATTACTTCTCTTTGTCCTAATAAGCAGGCTCTTCTGCACACGGAAAGTATGAAAATATTTTTTGATACAAACTATTAAAATTAGAAATCAACGAAGATGAACGAATTCTGCACCTGTTATTGTTTGCTAAACTAAACCTGAGAAGGTAATTAAATTTAATATTCTTAGTATTGTACTTTTGAAACTGGTTTTATTATTTATTTAATTAAGTCTTACTAGTTTCGGCCCATGGCCATCTTCAGAGACTAATGTCATAAGAGTTAACTAAGATGTCATATCATCTTAGTTAACTAAATATCAATCAATAATAAAATTACTTTGAGGTTACGACAAACAACAGATCGACACGTTAAAAATGAAGAACGTTCTAAATCTAAATATAAAACGAGTGCAGCGAAATAATACAGGAACAAGTTTTTTGGTGTTGTGACGTTTTAGTACATAAGTCGTAACGGAAAAATAAAAGAGAAAACACCATTTTTGTAAAAGATGAAACGTAATTAATTTGAAAATAAAAGTAAAGCAACTTAAAATAGTTAAAAATTAGAAAAAAAAATTAGAAGTTTATTTCCTTTAGTATTTTTTATTATTTGTCTTGTTATTTTATGTACTTTTTTTATTATTCATTTTCATTTGTCATTGCCAATTCAGATTATTGAATTCGAAGCCTAACATTTTTGCATTTAATACTAAAACGGTGGTTTTTATCAATATTCTCTAAAAGTGATAAACGTTTCTAAACTAAATTTGCTATTAGAAACTGCAAAAATAAATGTAGGGTTATAATAGAATAAAAAAGTTCTGAGCAAACAAACTTTTGGAACAGCCTGTATTGCATTATTCCCGCGTACCGATCCAACTCAAAAATTGCCTAATGATTTTACGTGATATTAGCTTACACTGTACCAAATTTCAATGCTTTACCATAAATAGTATTTAAGATATTTAGAAAAATGTGTTAAAATTTCCTAACTTTGATGGCCTGTACCTTTGCAATTTCAGGACTTTTACTAATTTTTTTTTACATGAATCGTCATCATTTTCACTCTAGTACATGTGGTTACATTTGTTCCCTGAGTCACCGAAACACCCTGTATATAAGAAACGATTTCGCATCAAATCGCCAAGGTCGCTTCCGGGCGAGGCGCTAGAATCCTCCAAAGCTGACGATTTCGTGTTGATACGCCAAATGTAGCGCCTCGCCCACAAGCGACTTCGGCGGTTTAAGGATAAATCTCTTTTTATACTAGACTTTGTATCTATACCAAGATATACAGGCTGTCCCGCAACGATTGTACAATACTTCACCAGCGTATTCTCTGGTCGAAAATAGACAAAAAAGTGTAATCTAAAGATAGGTCCGAAAATGGTCCATTTTCGAGATATTGACAAAGCCCGACTACTGTATTTTTCAAATCCTGCACATTTTAAACTTCGTCAGAATAAACTATTTGTTTTGAATGTCCCCAAAACCAAAAATCTAACGAATTTAAAAATGGTACACTAGGTGGTCACGTAACAGAGTAGCACGTGCATAATGTGCTGGTGCTCTATCGTGCATAAAGGCTTGCAAGTATTTCCAGAGGTAATTCATCAAATGCCTCAGTAAGCTCATTTTGTAAGAAATATGTGGAAACATCGGCTGTCAATCTATTCAGAAGAAAAAATGGAGCTAATAACTGGTCACCTATAACTGTGGTCCATACATTAACACTGAATCGTCACTGATGATGCGTTTCTAGTATTTTACCACTCAAAATGTGCGCATTATGGATATTAAAAGTTCCGTTTTGAGTAAAAGTTGCTCCATCTGTAAACACAATGTTTATGGGAAAGTCGACGTTTAGTACCTCTTCCTGTATGGCCCAGCCACAAAAAAATCTATTGTTTTTCGCTATACATGGTTTTCCAAAACTCCTGGGACGGAGCTATAAGTTTTGAACGAGTGAAGAAAAATATTTGAAAACTTGGAAATCACTAAAAACTACATTCTTAGATAGTTTACAACTTCCGTGCAATGTGGAGTTTTTTAGGGGATTTATTTTAAAGGTAATGGAGAAAGAAACACAACCCCATAAACCAAAATCCTATATCT